TGGTACTGATGGCAAATGTCCAAGCTGCACTGAAAACATTAGTCAAAACACGGCTCCTTGAATTGATGGAATACCAATTGAAATGTTTCAACAAGCTGATGAAGCTCTAGAAGCACTCCCTCATCTATGCCAAGAAATTTGGAAGACAGCTGCTTGGCCAACTGACTGGAAGAGATCCATACTTGTACCCATTCCAAAGCAAAGTGGCCCACCAGAATGCTCAGACTAGAACAATACCACACGAAAGTAAAATTTTGTTGAAGATCATTCAATGATGGTTGTAGCAGAGATTCAGGCCAGATTCAGGAGAGGACATGAAACAAGGGATGTCATTGTCGATGTCAGATGGATCTCGGTTAAAAGTAGAGAATACTAGAAAGATGTTAACTTTTGTTTCATTGACTATGCCAAGCCATTCGACTATGTGGAACATAGCAAACTGCAAATAACCTTGAGAAGAATGGGAATTCCAGAACACGTCAGTGTGCTCCTCTGGGTCTTGTTCATGGATCAAGAGGCAGTTGTGCAAACAGAACAAGGGAATGCTTCACTTTGAGCACAGTGGGACAGTGCCCTGGAGAATCTAGCCGGCTGTGCAGCCTGCCCAAGCAGAACCCAACATAACTTCACTCCAATCTTTAGAATAAATATGATTCTATCTTGGCTTTCTGCTATCATATTTTGGAAGAAATTAAGGTTTGTCACAATTTATCGATTTAACATTTACCATCGGAACTCTGCCGGCAATCGTGGGCTAGCGTTGGGCTGCTAATCGAAAAGTCAGCACTTTGAAACCATCAACCACTGGGTTGGGAGAAATAAGAGACTTTCTACTCCCATAAAGATGTACAATCTCAAAAACCCACAGGAGCAATTCTACTTTGTGTTGTAGGTGGTTGTGAGTCAGAATCGACTCAAGGGCCGTGAGTTTGGTTTGGTTATAGTCTGAAATGAAACAAACAAATTGTAATTTGGTCTGCTGTACAGTTGAGGGATCTGAAACCTATCTGGGGATGTAAGACAAGTTTATTAACCTCTAAACTCTTACTCCATAAAAT